CCGATGTGCTGGAGCCTATACAATATGTAATATATAACGCAAGCCATCCATTCAGCATGGAGTCTCTTAAATCTAGCCACACACCCAGTAAGGATTTTGAAAGAAGGCACGAGGATGTATCCTGTAAATAAAAAGCACTATATCAGAAACTAGGGTTGTAACGATACCCTCATGCCACGATTCGATACATATCATGATAATGAACTTACGATACGATATTATTGTGAAACTCCAAGACATATGGTAAAGGGTTAACAAAAATGTAGTTGATTGAAATGCTGAATTTGGTATTACATTGGCTTGGATGAATGAATAGGCTTGGACACAAATGTGACACCAGAATAAAAATATTAATGATTCTGAACTTGAAAATACTTATTTTAGATGAACATGCTTGCACTCTGTCACTGGCTAGATATATTTAAAATAATCTAGGTCACTTTTTACTGGTAACATCAGACTTTTGGCATTATTTAGACTGATCTCATGAAATGGCGTATGTATGACACGGCAATTCGTATTTCCATTTTTGGCGTGCTATCATCGCATTTCAGTGTGTTTATGAACGCCGTTGACTTAAATTTACATTATTGTATATGACCTACCCAACCCCGTCCCTAAACCTACCCGTCACTGGGGTTAATACCATTTATGAGTCTTCCCCTACCATCCTAGGTAAAAAATATCGCTCCCCAGATGTAGATCTACATTTTGCTTCGTTTCGCGCAGACATTTAAGGGCGTGTACATACACGCGGAATCACTTGGACATTTATCGCCGTAGACATACACGCATACATGCGGATAGCTAAAAATGCATATACTTTAAAGTGACGTGTATGTTTACGCAAAAGTCATGATCAGGACAACTATTCCACCCCATTTTTTCCCACACAGAAATTTTCATTTTGGGTGAATTGAACACCCATTGTCACTATCCACGATACATAATTATGCATTTTTTTACAGTGATATTGTGACACGATATATTGTTACACATATTGAAACATTGCAAGATTTTTTTGGGGTAACAAGTAAATGTTTAAACTATTTACACTTTTTCCAATGCATTTTGTGCTTTAAAGAATAACATTGCAGTAATAACGCCTTCAATTCCATGTAAATCTATCAGGAAATTATACCTTAATGTGTCTGTAAACTCCCAGTAAGAAAAACCCCCCCAAATATTCAAATTCATTATACAGTTTCAAAACTTTACAAGAAGAAACAAATTATCTGTTTCAAAAACAATTTAGTCAGCAAATATTTGAATCAACAGAAGGTAGACTTACACACAACAGGGGGCTTATCATGTTGAGTGAATCATTTTTTATATTACATGATAATTTATTTGCCTCTAAGTAATACCTTCCTCCCTTGAGCTAATTGAAGCTGGCGCCATCCTCCTTTGGTGGGTAGCAATTTTCTCTCATTACAGCAAATGTTTGCTCATAAGAGAAGGATCCGGAAGCCTAATAAGGTACTAATAAAAACAAAGTGATGACAGTTGCTGTCACCTGTGCCAAGTCCTGTCATGCAATGTAATTAGTGAGACAAGGCTTGTGATCCTTTATTCATTGCGAATACATGAATTGCTCTCCTCTAAAAGAGAAGATTCGCATTGTGCCTTCTTACTCAATCCCTTATGGAGAAAACAAAAAATGAATGATCACTGAACTTAATTATGCTGCCATTTTCTTCTAGATCTGCTGTACAGCAGAGACTTTGTTGCATTATTTTCTTGTTGCTTTGAAACAATCTCTATTGTAAAAAGCTGTATATAAATAGAGGTGACTTGACACTGTAAAAATGACTATGCTATGTCTAAGCAATAAAATTGTTAACAAATTAGAATTGAGTAATAATTAATCAAATTAATTCCTTTAAAGTTAACCAATAATGAGTAAAAGTTAGGTATATCAGCCAAACAAACCTTAAAGTGAATGACTTAAGGGTCAAGAGCCCAACTAAAACGAACACTGATCAGCATAATGGTGACTTACAATTATGTTTTTCTCCTTCAGCTATTTGGCTTGTTAACCTCAGGTGTCTTCAATATTGGCAATATAAAATAAAGAGTTCTTCATTCATCTTTGACGTCTATCTGTTATTCAGATATTTTTGTTTATTGTTTTTGTGTGTACATTTTACACATTTTAAATGGTTAACTTTTAAGGAATTCATTATTACTCAATTCAAATTTGTTAAATTTAATTAATAATATTGCTTGTGATCTGTTGTTACAATTTTATTGATTAGATGTAGCGTATTCATTTGTACAGTGTATGACCCTTATAATTGTCCTGTGAGTATTCGATTTAAACTATGTTTATGTGACTGACCAATGGTGATGTAAAGTTGGCAAAATATGAACTCTGCAATTCTAACCAAAAGATCTGCCAATCTCTATCACGTTCAGTTGACAGAAATCCCTATTGAGTAAAGAAATGACATGGCCAGCCAACGAGTTTGATTTAGTGGATCATAGCGTGCGTAAAGCAGGGCAAATAGACGTGTAATCAGATTGTTAGATTGAAGAACTGTAAATGCCTACGCAAGCATTCCTGCACTGCAAAGCTGAGCCCATAATTACAATGCTCAAGGTGTGTCCAAACATACCAGAAAAACCAGGAGCCATCTTTTTGACATTTCAGTACTCTCTGACAAAACTTTCCTAGTTGATTTCTAAAGGTCAAAGAGATCAGGCAGGAAGGAAAGAGGATGTGTTGGTCAATTTCAGAAAAGGCTTAGCTGATTTCTGAACGCAATATCTAAAGCTTTCTTCTCTCTCTCTCTCTCTCACGGTGAGTGTTTCTCATGTCTCCTGTCAGCTCCCATGATACTCAACTGCAAACGTACATCCTTCTCATCTATCACTACACTTCGGCAGTCTCTCTCAGTCCATCTACGCAAAGAGTCGGATTGTGCTCGACAAGGTGCCCGAGGGTAGGGGCGTGACGGCCGAGTGTGTGCATGCGTTGTGTGTTTGCGTGTGTGTGTAGAGGGAGGCGACTCCTCCTGAGTGGAGCCGCTAAACTGCCACAGTTTCTCCCCCGAGGAGAGGCGCCTTTCATCTCCCCGCTCACTGGCGCCTTCGCAAACCTCAGATTGTCTGTGAAATCACCCTGCTTAATAAACGCGCTGAGGCTCCTGGGAACGACAGGCTAGCAGAATCTCACCCTGCAGCATTAGTGCACATACAAACACACATAAAGACCAGTTCAACAAGCAGCTGATTGCTGCTCCTATTCATTACAGGAGAAGAAGGGGGATGTTTATTTGAAATGCGATTGCCCAAGTACCCTAAGTGTCATGGTTACAAACAATTCCCCCATTTAAGACGAGACCAAAAGCAATCCATCTCTGTTTAATGTCGTATTACTGAACAGCCTCAGTGTCCAGACATACATTTCATTATACGTACATTTCCTCCCTCTCTCTCTCTCTCTCTCCCTCCCTCTCTTTCTCTCTCTCTTTCTCTCTCAAAGCAGTCATTCGTGACACTTTGAAAATAACTCTTGTGTTTGAAGAGTAAACACCCTAATGCTTTCGTTAGGCACTTACCACAGTAGCCATGCAGGAACAAATACTTTTTTTTTACCCAAGGAGATTATATGGCATGCAAAGAAACTAGCAGACAACAAAAGGCAAAAGAGCTTTTAGGCAAATAATCACACTTCACTTTTTTACCTTGGATAGTAATGATACACTGCATTGTATCGCCTCAAGCATTGTTTCTTTTCTGGGCTGCTGTTATACTTCACTAATAGTGTAGTGTCCTGGTTTGTAAAGGATTGTGTAAAGTGAGATGTAATGGGACATTCACAGAGGACATTTGTATTAAAGCAGAATTGGTGTGAAACTGATAAAACAGAAACACACATAAATATGTTGCACACAGTATAGGTCAAAAGTTTTTTGTATTGACTAATTACTATTTGTATGTTTTTGAAAGAAGTATTGTGCTTACTTGATCAAAAATACAGAAAAACAATACTATTGTGAAATATTATTACAATTTAAAATAATCTGAAATCATTCTAATATGATGATTTATTATCAATGTTTTGTTTTAACCTGTGATACTTTTTTTTCAGGATTCGTTGACGAATAAAAAGTTGATTTATTTAAAACAGAAATATGTTGTAACAATACTGCCGTTAAAAAGTTTGGTTTCAGTAATATTTTTTTATCTTTTGAAAAAGGATGTGATAAATTGATAATACGTGATAGAAAAAAGATTTATATTCTTAGAAAACATTTCTATTTTGTATAAATGCTGTTCTTATAACGTTTTATTCATCAAAGAAACCTGAAAAAGTATCAAAGGTTATACTTTTTTATATATATTAAAGCATTATATAATGGTTTCTGAGGGATCATGTGACACTGAAGACTGGAGTAATGAATCACAGAAATAAATTATATTTTAAAATATATTAAAATAGAAAACCATTATTATAAATTGTGATAATATTTCACAATGGCTACCTACGTTTTTTACCCACATTATATTGATCAAATAAAACCAGGCTTAATGAGCATAAAATACCTATCAGAGATATTAAAAATAGTCATTTTTCCAAACTTTTGACAGGTACTGTGTAGCCGATAGGCCTATGTATCATACTTGCACGCCACAACATGCAAGATAAACAAACTGTCTAAACTTAGCTGCTGGGTTACGAGTTTTGGGAAACAATCTGTCATATTTAATGGAAACTCTAATAGTTTTTATAATCTAAACATGTTATCTTTGTCCAATTTATCCATGGCCAGATGGCCTTACTTACCAAAATGGCAGAATCTTTCTCTAAATCGGTCGCTGTCATTGTGTCAATCATAATGACGGACTCTTTCTTACGACACTCAATAAGCCAATCGAAAGAATTCCCTAATTCAGCAGCGCTCTCATTGGCTAAAAGTCTGACCGTTGCCGTGTGCTGCTGTAAGCCTTGATTTGGCAGCGCTCTGATTGGCTGAAAGTTCTGTGTTGTGGCCGCGTGCTTCGAGGCATCAAAGGCTTCATGCTTCTTGAGACGTCAGAGTGGTTGTGAAGGTCGCGCGTCCAGAGGCTCATCGCGAGGAGGACGATGTCCGCGACCGCGAGCTTGAAGGAATCAGACGGAGGAGGTCAGCAGGACATGGAGCCGCGCAAAACTCCAGTGTCAAGCCATCCATTCAGCGTGGAGTCTCTTATATCGAGCCACAAACCCAGGAAGGACTTTGAAAGAAGACGCGAGGATGTTTCCAGTCAGTTTGCGAAGACCGAGATCAGGGATTCTTGTGGTTCGGCTGGAATACCAAAGCACTTTATACAGACCTCACCCGTCAAATCCGAGTCCCCTGAGCCGGATGACTGCACTTCATGGGTTATGAACTCCAGGTTCTCTCAAACTCGTAAGCAAGTCAACTTTCTGAACTTAACTTCTTATGCTTTAAACTTAAATTATAATATTAAGTCAATGCTTGTCGAACAAATTATCTTGCAACTAAGCTAATTGTGTGAAATTACGTATAAACTTGTTAGAGATATCTCTAACAGACTGTTTTAGGGGGTTATAAATGCATCATATTTAGCTGCTGGTTATTTCTCATTAGGCATCTTGCAACTAAAGCGAATGCATGTTTTACAGATGTGTGAAAGATGCGTTTGGATACACTGCTCTGAAATTATGAAGCCTCAAGCAGAAAAACTCAGATTTAATTAAGAACACAACATTATAATGAATTAAAATAAATGAAACACTTTTTGTCCGTAATTATTAAGCAGAATATGAATGTGTAGATGTATTTACTCAACAAATCCTGTTAATAATAGCACTATTACGTGTTTTGCTTTTCCTCCACCCCTAAATATCTAATACTAATTATAAAAAATAAAACACAATAAGAATTCCAATAAATTCACGTGCATGCTTCATACACAGCACACTGTAAAAAAGGTGGATCAATAGGTTATGAAAACATTTTTACGTTGCTTTAACTAAACAGTTTAAGTTAAAGACCTTTTTTAAGTCAATTGAATGTAATTTAAGTTGGAATTACTTGCACATCTAAGTTGATTGGAGGCTACTTAAAAATTTAAGGCGGCGACTTTTTTTTTCAGTTTAAAAATGAGAACACTATTATTAAAACATTAACTTTGCACGGTTAGTTACTTACATTTTTAGAGTTTAAAATCAATGTTTTGACCAATCTTAAATTTACAATGAATTACATTGTGTTACACTAATTTTTAAACCAATTTTTTTTTCAACCACAGGCCAGGAAAGTGCCTGTCCTCTGCGCAAGCACAAGACCAACCGCAAACCCCGTACACCGTTCACCACCTCACAGCTCTTGGCCCTGGAGCGTAAGTTTCGGCAGAAACAGTACTTGTCCATCGCAGAACGAGCCGAATTCTCCAGCTCCCTCACCCTCACAGAGACCCAGGTGAAGATCTGGTTCCAGAACCGACGGGCCAAGGCCAAGCGCCTGCAAGAGGCCGAGCTGGAGAAGCTCAAACTGACCGCCAAACCTGCCCTGCACCCCAACTTCAGTCTGCCTCTTCCTCTCGGGACGCAGCTTCACTCGGCGGTCTCGCTCTATGGCCAATCGTACCCCTTCCACAGGCCTTTATTGCCCGTTGCTCCAATGGGACTGTATGGAAGTCCTTTAGGGTACAGCATGTATCACCTCGCATGAGGAAGTGCTGCGAAATGGACTAGTTCTCCTCTGTGGATGTACAAAAAGACAATGTTTACAATCACTGGGTGCCCGAAAAAAAGCATCAACCAAAAAATGAAATATGTCGTAATGTGCCTTCACTCGCGCCTTAAAAGACCTGAAGTGAAAATCGGGACGTTTTACCTCACTTTTCACTGACTGAAAGATCAAATTTGACCCTGTGGAGTGTGGATGGATAATTCGGTTGCCAAACCTTTTGTGTATATTTGTGTTATACATCTTTATGTAATATATTGTCAAGCTAATTATTTAGTGTACAAAATATTGTTTAAATTCTACTACATTTGATGGGGGGTTTTAATCCTGTAAAAATGTTCATCACGCGTCGTTTTTACTTATCGAGAGATTGTTGTCATACTTGTAGCTAGAATTGATGGACAGTGATTTCACCAAAAGCGAATTAAACGGCTCGGTGAATACAATTGGTATGACATCGTTCAATTTTACATCGAAAGATTATAGACCTTTTTTTTTCTACGCTTTGTTTTCACATGCAAGAGAGAAAAAAGTCAGAATATGATATGCCGTTTGAAACTTAATTGTGGAAATTTATTTTTTGTGCTGCATTTTATATACATTTATACTGTAATTGTAAGTGACTGAAATCTGATTGTACAGTAAACGGCAATTGGCGAGCAAACACAATTCAGTTAGTATTCACTGTACTAAACGTATATGAGAGAGTGTTATTTGTTCTATTCTGTTAATTTTTCCACTTTATTCATCACCTCCACCTTTTTAAAGTTATTTTTTACAGTTTTTTCCCCCCATGAATGAGCCTTTCTAAGCGAATACATTTTACCGTACTGATTTATATATGAATACGAGTTATATTTAAAAAAAAAAATCAGTGAAGTAAAGCAATATCCTTTTCATGAACCAAACATAATGTGATGCTGAACCGATCACAAATATGAAAATACAGTAGAATGTATTGCATTTCTAACTAAATGATCAGTGATTAAATAGCGACATCTATTCGACATGATAAAGTAATAATGTTTGATTATGCTGTTATTATAAAGTGTATTGGATTAGTTCTGTTTCACTTCTTTATTGCCCTGTTATGGCTTGTTCATTACCTTGTGGCTCTATAAATGTGGACGTTTTACTGCTCCCGCGTGACTTTGATGCAGTGAGGAAATCGTTTACGGTCAGCACTGAGCTTCCTTTAATCAAAACACGAACCCAGGCTTGCTAATCAAACACAGAACCGCTAAAGTGTTCACGGATGTGTTTTATAATGTCGGCTTTGAGCCACTTATAGAGCGCGGTGAAACTGGCCAATTTGCCTGATCCTGTTCCTGTGGTGTAAAAAAAAAAAAAAAAGAAAAGTCAAGAGACTCTCTGAGGGCTAAATTCACAAATCTGTCAAGTTGTTCTGAAATTAATACCTCGAGGATATCTGGGTAATTGTAGCCTGTTTAATTCTTTAGTTATCTTTGACGTAAAAGTCAGAACGATTCATTTCAAGATTTAAACTCTATGTATTGTTTGAGGTATGAGAGACACTGGGGCCATTTTAAAATGGCTTTAACATTGTAGCAATAGATTGATATTTCATAAATACTTTTGAGTTTATTATCGCAATTTATTATAGAATGCTATTAAGCACTTTTTAAATAAAAAAGGCATAAAACCTTGGAAATATTTGTCTTCTGGGTTTCCATTAGGTCTATGGCAAACCGTTTTAGCTTTTATTCATTTCCAAGATATGAATTCTTGATATCAACAATTGAATTGCTGATATCTATACACTGTATAAATCAATAGAATATCAATAGAATTGTGGCAACAGATTACAATCAATGATATTAATTAAATTTAACAAATTAGAATTGAGTAATAATTAATCAAATTATTCCTTAAAAGTTAACCATTTAAAATGAGTAAAGTTTACACCAATTAACAATAATATCTCACTAACAGAACTCTTTATTTTATATTGCCAACATTGAAGACACCTGATGTTAACAAGCAGAATCACTGAAGGAGAAAACCGTAATTTTAAAACAAACCTAAAACACCGATCACCACAATGGTGACTTCAATTTATGTTTTTTTTTTGGTTGTTGTTGTTGTTGTAAGTTTTACTCATTTTAAATGGTTAACTTTTAAGGAATTCATTTGATTAATTATTACTCAATTCTAATTTGTTACATTTATTTAATAATATTATTTGTATTCTGTTGCCACAAAGCATATTCATTTTTACAGTGTAATTGTATTTTCACTAGTGAAATTTCACCATAGGCTGCCATTCAAAACCAATTGTTGATATCAAGACTTTACTAGTGGAAATATTTACTAGTAGAAATATAGATTTTACTTATAGAAATATAATTTCTGATATCAATAATTACATTGTTACTGTAAAAATGCAAATTCCTGATATCAATAATTAAATTGTCACTAGTTGAAATGTCTATTCGTGATATCACCAATTCAATTAGTACTATTAAAAATGATAATTTTTTATATCTGAAAATGTATTTCTGATATCAATATTATTTCAGATATCTAAAATGGCTTTCTTACTAGTAACAATCACATTCATGATATCAGAAATTAGCATTGTCACTAAATCAAAACTGATCATTGTTACTAGTAGCAATTAAATTGTGGATATCAAGAATAGACTTTTCAGCTAGTAACAATTGAATTCTTGATATCAAAAATAAAGGTTTTTACTAGTAATAATTGTATTTCTGATATGTGAAATTGGAATTTCAACTAGTTAGAAATCAATTCTTGATATCAATTGTTTTCAATGGCAGCCTATTGTAAAAATACAATTGTTGATATCAAGAATTACATTTTTGATATCAAGAATTCATATCCTGGAAATGAATAAAAGTTAAAACGGCTTGCCATATAGGTCTAGAAACGTTAAAAAAGTGCCTGGGAGGGGAAGAGGTTAATTTAGAACTCGATTAGTTATTTTTTACTCATTCATCATTGCATCTGAAAAATTAATTTGAAGTCATTAAAAATTAGTCTGAACAGAACATACAAACTGTGAGTAATAGTGCAGTAATCTTTTAAAAATGTGTCCGATAAAATTAGAGATTGAGATGAGGATTATTAAGGTCACCATTTCCTAGGAGTTTTTAATGCTTTTAGTGATACAGTATTTACCACTGACAAAATAATTGAATCAAATATGCCTGTTAACAGTCTACACAAATCCATTAAAAAGTGCATTTACGTGCACAAAATGTCACACTGTATGGGATTCGTCATTCTATCCCCACATTAATGATCATGTACAGTTGGGAACATATTGGCCTTATTTGATCTTGTTCAATCCATGTTTTCCTTGATTTAGACCTCCTCTGCTGGTTACAGGGAGAACAACACCAGTGTAAGATACTCATCAAAACGACTGGGCGTGTGCACTTCCTCATGGTGTTCTTATGTATATGAGATCTCATTACACATTCCCAGTCAACCTTTTAAAATAAACAAATCATTAAATGTCATAATCCAATAGCTAACAACTGAAAGTGAATCTGCAATCAGAGTCAATGATAAAGAAGCTACATTTTTCTATTAGCAAACATTTATGGTTTTGAGAAACTTTTATACTTTATGTTTTATGACACTTATAATGTCATGTGGTGTAGACCTAGCCATCAACAATTAGTATTTTCCTTACACCATACATGTGAGTGCACAACCTTTGGCTTTTATATATATATATTTTAGGGCTGTGCAAAAGTTAATTGTGATTAATCGCATCCAAAATAAAAGTCTGTGTTTACATAATATATTTGTGTGTGCTGTATATAATTATTTTGTATATATAAAAATACCTATGCATGCATGTATATATTTAAGAATTATTTGCGCTTAAATTCTGTATACATTTATAAATACATAATCTATATTATATAAATATAAATATTTTATATATGAATAACACATTTTCTTAAATATATACATGTGTGTGTATTTATATATACAAAATAATTATATACAGCACACACAAATATATTATGTAAACACAGACTTTTATTTTGGATGTGATTAATCGCAATTAACTTTTGCACAGCCCTAATATATTTTTATATATATTATTATATTATAATAATAATATAATATTATATATTATATATTATATATATATATATATATATATATATATACTGTATATCTCCAGGTAAAACTTTTTTTAAAACAAAAATATTAATTCTTATATTGTGGGTTGTTTTTGGTGTGTGGACTAGGGATATTAACTGATGACTGTTTGACCGATGGTTGACCATATCAAAGTTGTTGGTACTTGGTAAAAAAAAAAGAAAAAAAATTGATCTCTATGGGCTATTATTGACAGTGGACTAAAGGCTTCTTCAGTTAGTCATCTCATTCCAAGATTTTTGTGTGAAGTGAACAAATCCCTCACACTCAATTTTCATAACTCGTCTGTTTTTATTTAAAGGAGAACTAAGGCGCTATATGAACCTTTGGTCTGTGCACTGCATGCTCTTTGAGGTGGTGACCATAGACCTCCATTATATGACTGAAAGACAAGAACGGTTTGACCTAAAAATATCAAAATTGAAACTACTGTGGAAACACCTACATCTTGGATGCCCTTGAGGTAAGCTAAAACATACCAAAAATGATATCTGGTCATATCCTATCTCTGCCACATGAGAGGAAAAAAAAAAACGGATTTGGGTCACTTGAACCATACAGTGTAAATGGGGCCAAGGTCAAGTTCAAGAAACTAGTTTGAGATGATTTGAGCTTTGTGACATGCCACGTTATCCCGCTGGAAGTAGCTTTCAGAAGATGATACACTGTGGTCATAAAGGGATGGACATGGTCAGCAATAATACTCAGGTCGGCTGTGGTGTTTAAATTCAATTGGCACAAAGTGTGTCAAGAGAATATCCCACACACCATTACAGCACCAGCAGCCTGAACCATTGATAAAGGCAGGATGGATCCATGCTTTTATGTTGTAATTGCCAAATTCTGCCCTTAACATCTCAATATCACAGCAGAAATCAAGACTCATCAGGCCAGGCAACGTTTTACCATTCCCTTCATTTTGCTGTTCTCAGCTGACAGGAGTGTTGTAGCTCAAGCTAAAAAGTTAACCACTTTATTAATCCCACAAGGGGCAATTATATTTAGGCAGTGGCATCAAATTAAAATAATAATAATAATAAAAACATGTTAAAAACAATCATATTCCACAAACACATATGTACAAATTACAATATTAACCTCAAGAATCCAAACTCGCATTGCAAATACAAACGGCTTCTGGTGCCAAAGTGAACTTGTATTGATTTGTTAGACACTTGATATTTCATAAACATCTGCTCGGAGGCAGTGGCTCAAAATTCATATGCAGGGTGAGTGCTTCATCACTCATAACACTCCTAGCTTTCCTTAAAGCTTGCTGCTCATGAAATTATATTAAGCTCCACAAAGGAACACCAGTCATTTATGAGAACGACTTAACTATACTTTGGAGAAAGTGCCGAAAATCAACAGAGGAATGAAAAACTCAAAAACTCTCATAATAAAGGTATTATAAAATGTAAACAGAATAGGCTTTTTAACACTAAAGGAGTTCAATTTCCTCAGAACAAACATTCTCGGATGTGCCTTCTTAAGAATAGCCTCTGTATTTTGCTGAAACTTTAAGGTTGTTTCTAAAATGGTTCATACTTCTACTCTTGTACTCTGTCAGCAGCTCTGCCTCATCGCACCATGTGAAGTGCAAGCTAGGATGTGTTGTGCGTTCAAGGATGCTCTTCTGCAGACCTCGGATGTAACAAGTGGTTATTTGAGTTACTGTTGCCTTTCTATCGTTTCTCAAAAACATTGTGAGCTAAGGTGGCATGGTCCTACGATCCACTTATGCCTTCAATGCTTCTGGGAAAAGTAGCCCTGCCCTTCTCCTTTGACCTTTGGCATCAATGCATTTTAACCCACAGAACTGCCGCTCACTGTATATTTTCTTTTTTCTGACCTTTCTCTGTAAACTCTAGAGATGGTTGTGTGTAAAAATGCCAAT